TCCCTACACACTCATCTGTGCTATCCATGGACAAGTTTTGAACTCTCTATGCAACTGAGGATTGTGTTCTAATGCCCAAGGCATGAAAGGGATAAACAAACCAACAGACAACAGATTTGAGTCTACATATACCTTCTATAGTTATATAATCCAAACTTTTTGTAACCAAAGGTACAGCTCAGTAAAAGAAAGATTCATGGGCTATATAATAATTACTACTTCTATTCAGATATGGCTTGAAAGATCGTAATTCCTAATGTTAAGTACGGCTAATATAAAAATTTAATTTACCTATCCCTGAGAAATAGAAGCGAACTTTCTATTTACAAATCTTTTTGCATAGGAGGAGATCTAACAGATGGAGGAAAGTAGACATAAAACAGTTTACCATCTTAAATTTCAAGCATTGATATATTTGACCTTTTTTTTCAGCCTAGTGCCAGAAAAAGCTCATGTGGAAGCCACGACATACACCAACTGCAATAATAACACAGTGGCACCGTGTGAAACACTCATTAATTCTGAACAGCAGTTTTTATTTCCAACCTCCACAGCTCACAACAGCTGAGTAACACTCTGATGAGTTCAGGATCAATCCAAGATACATGGAGCACAATCAGGAAGTGAATACTGAAAAGAAAGGGATGTTAAAGTTTTCTGTGTCAAAGATTCTGTTCATCACAACCTAATATGCTTTTGAGATAGCTACAGTCAACTTATAAAAATATACAAATATTCTGGGGGGATTCTACTTCCATACTTCCTTTGAAAACCTTTTTCCAGTACAAGAATAGACCTATAATACTAATACTAGCTGCAAAATATATAATTTGCCAATCTGCAAGACAAGAAATAGTAGCTTGCTTTATGAAATTAATTATCAGATATATCAGTCATAACTTCTGTCAGGTGCACACTTTAAAGTCCAATATTTGAACGTTCTAAAGTGAATTCCTTATTTGTTTGCAATGCTCTTCTACAATTTTTGGAGGTTTTTAAAGTTTTAAATGATTGCTCTTTTCCTTTCCCTTAAACATCGTCAGTAATTGTCTTTGCTCATTGTAACAGTCTCATTAGTAGCATCCACTGTAAAGTAATTTTTCAGCTGCTAAGAGATTTATTCCAGCAAAAAATACTGCAATATCTAAGCTGCTTCCTATAATAAGTTAAAAAAATTGCGTTAGGTGAAGCAAGAGAAGATTTAACTCTGTATTAATGGAATATTTACTATAAATATGTAGAGTTAGATCTTCTATCCCTTTGCAACAGCTCTCAGTGCTTTGTACTAAAAAGAGGAAGATCATCACCTTCATTTTACAGACTGCAAAATGTAGGCACAGGACATGAAAACAACCTCTCAAGGCTGTGCCATACATGACAGTGAAATGTCACCTCAGTTCTACATCTCAGTACATCACATCTTCCAGCTCAGTCCATGCTCCGTGTCACCCTCTGCCCTGTACAAGAATTCAGAGACAATTCTAATGCCAGTGAATAAATGGCAGGTGGAAAATGAAAAAAACAAAAACCCTAAACATCAAAGAGTTGTTTTAAAGACAGAGTTTTAGAACTAGAGTAATTACCCATCAACATCAGGGAAAAAAAAAAAGAAAAGTCAGTCTTAATATATGCACAACATAGTGAAGCCTAAACAGTTTTTCTGACCTTTAGACCAAGCAGATCCCAGAATGGAGTTAATGACAAAAAAGATAAAGTTTCACACACAAATATTGAATAAATCCTTTGAAACAAACCATTTGAGATTAGTAAAACATTAAAATTTCTTGCAAAAACTAATTTTATCTGAATAAAAATTCTTACACATTTAGTATATAAATTAAGAAGTCTAACTGACTTGATATGAATTTATAACACTATTAGAACTGGGTAAATGGCTACACTGGCCAAAATATATTTTACCCATTTATTTCAGTAACAACAAAAACATAACTACTGAGGAGTAAAAATGGGACAGCAGCTGTATTGGGTTTACATGGCAAGATTTTGGCAACTTTCACAACTTTTGAGCCTTTAGTTTTTTTCAAATTCAAGGAATTTGAACCCTGCCCAACCCTGGCAGTGTTCCAGGCCAGGCTGGATGAGCCTTGACCAACCTGGTCTACTGGGAGGTGTCCCTGCCCAGGGCAGGGACTTGGGACTAGATGATCTGTAAGGTCCATTCCCACCCTTAAAATTCTGTGATTCTATGAATGTGTAACAGGGTTTTCCATATGGTAAGGACTTACTCATACACATATTTCTTTGCATATATGCGTACATATTCAGTCTCATATAAAATATATAACACCAACACTATCAACAAAGAAACTTATAAAAGTATATACAGTTTTAAGTCACCTAAATGTTATTTTAGTCAATAAACTTTGAAGAGGAAACCAAGAAAACCACCTGGACCTATTGGTTCCTTTATCAGCAATGGATCAACCTAGTCCATTGACAAGAGGCAAATCCAGGACCAAAGTAGGAAACAGATGTTCTGTTAAACCATATGTTCTGAGACTGGGATAAAATTACATGTATCCAGACTCCGATTAGGAAGCTGAACATAAAATAAAGGAATGAAAAATACATACAGCTAATTTGCTTAGACTGGTCAGCATCTCATTTTGATCCTCAAAGCCAGTTGGATGAATTTTGCTCACGGCATCCTCTTTCTCAGTAAGCCATACATCAAAAAGGCACTGAAACAGAATTGGAGAAAAAAGACTTGTCAAGCCTTTCCTCGTGCAGTTTTTGGAAGACTATTCTGATCCATAACTGATAGAAACTATTCACCTGCTCTTCTGCAAAATGCTGCCATTTGCGCAGAATGTCCTGCAGCAGGAACCATCGGTCCTCTGTCCACCTGCAGATGGCTGCCCACCGTTTCCCAAAGTGCTACAGAGAAACAAACACACAAGAGAATTTTGCATTTGTTTACTTTTTTCCCCAAACACGCCAAGCTGTTTTTCCTACAAGTTTTTATGAAACTTTCCTAATTCAGTTTTTTCAGTCTAAAGCCCTTAGAATATGTTGCATGTCACACTGATATGGATCTTAGCACCGTTTCAAATAAAACCAAACCTGAGAGAACAAGAAAAGCAACAGATTCAAAACCAGAGTATTTTAATACTAATCTATTGATACAGTTTTCCATGAAGTCTCCAGCATTATGCTTTCAAGAAACCTCTCCTTTTCAACATTTTACAACACCCAAAGCATAACTACTTGAAACATAACTATGGTGGCTCAAAGATGTGGTCAAAGCAAGAAAATGTTTGGCTTTTAAGTTGCCTGACACACTGAGCTGCATCATAATGGATATTGCCTCAACTTAGAAAAATGAAAACTAGCTCCACTCAACTAGCATAATAATGCTAATTTAAACACTTGTCAATTCTTAAAGAGCTTAAATATGTTTCACAGTAATACAGAATTCTTCCTTTTCAGTCACTTACTGCATAAAAACATAGTAGATTTTGTGCAAGATGCTTTCTTTGGCTTTTCTAGCCTTAATATTAGGATCACAGTTTTTATATTTAAATATCCCACATTCAAGCAGCTGTCTTTGCTTAATGATCCTCGGGGGAAAAAAGTTAATTTTCCCTCAACACCTGTAGTAACATCTTCATCAGCCGGTCTTTATCACTATGGTATACTTTCAAAAATATTGTTTGCTTCTGCATCCAGAAAACACCAAAACCTTAAGAGTACAAGACCAAATATCTGGCTCTGCATTTACTCTAAGAGAACACTGATTTGCATAGCAAAAAAGGTTTTGCTGAGTCAATACAAAACACTATTTCCAGCATTTGATTTCAAAGAGCCACAAAACCTACCGCCTTTTTGTTTTTTGTCTTCTTGGACAGATAAAACAGGCTGATACTGAAGGAATCACAAAGCAAAAAGAAAGTTGCTCTCAGATATTTGGTTTCTTCTTCTCCAAGATACATGCATGTATTCATCTATGCAAAAGTCACTTCCTACAGAAATACTTCAGACTATCTTCAGAAATATCTCCTGAGATGCACACAATGCTACTAGTTCTGCTTCAACCCTATTGACACTTGATGTCACTGTTCTTTCTGAGAGTTTAGTCCTTACCTGCAGTTGCTCTTCCAGCGCAGCAGTAGCTCTGTCTCCAGTGTTTTCATCCACCACCACTACCATATGGGTTAGAGAATTCACCTTGACTTGTTCCTGTTCCAGATCTTCTTGAAATGCCTAGAATTAAAGCACACGTGTTAGAAAGGTGTTTCAGGTGTCTCTAACCAGCCTCAAACCAACAAAAGGATATGGGAAACAAAGTCCTGGATTACGACCTCAACACTTCAGCCGGGTGTGTTCCAGGGATTAGAGAGCAGATAGTCTGATATCACACATGCCTTGTCACAAGAAAAACCTTATCTGCATTACAAACTAGGTTGAATTTCAGCATATCATTTTTTCTGCTGCTTTTTACAAGGAGCATAATTCACTTAGATATGAAGTGTAAGCCCTAGCTGAACGATAATGTTCTGCATTCAAAACCTCCTTGCTAAAACATCTTACTTTTATTTGAAAATTTTAAAAATAAATATAATGTGGTTATAAGCAATAGGAAAGGAATGAACAGATTACTTTGGTTTTAAGGCATAGATTTCTTACCACACATTTCAGAGTAAATTCTTCCCTGTGATAGCCTTTGAGACAATATATTTGTAAGAATCCTCCTTTTTCTGACTTTCATGCCTGTGATTACCATTTGCTTCAGCGAGCTAGACTATAAAACAATTTTCAAGGACTGTGAAGTACATCCACTTGTTAGAACTGTCCCTGGAATTTAGACTTCTCAACATTTTATGACCCTGCACTTGATCAAGGAAGAGGAGTCAGAGCACTCATGGATCAGTGTATAACACAGCTCACTTGCCACAGATTTAATCCCTTTTTTAAGCCATACAACACTAAATCCATTGCTCTGCAAGCCTACAGCCAGGGACAAGGTGACTTTATTTCCTGCTTAGTCTGTATCTGACAGCTAACATCCCAGAACAAAACCAGAGTCAGGAATGCTCTGCAAGTGCAGAGTGTAGGGCACTTTGGGACTGGGAGTTTTGCACCCACTGTGAAAGACTTGAGAAGTCAGAACAGATGAACTAGGAAGTTGAGTCATTTTCTAATCCTCTGACAGACTCAATTTACCTTGATGTAAAGGGCTGTTCTTTACAACACAAGTGTCTCTTTTTACCATTACATTCATTGGTGAAAATTTTGTCTACAGGATCTTGCTGAAACAGGAGTTTACTGAGGGCAGTCCCAAGGCTAGAGCATGCTCTGTTCAAATCATTTACGCTCAGGGATCTAATCAGTTCTCCTTGTAGAAGTAGTAAATTTTCAGGGACTCAAAATATAAGATGGATATAGATGTGGATGCAAGGAAAGAGCAACAACAGCAACTCATAAAACTCCACCATTCATTTAAATCCTATCTATCAAATAACAACTTATGCAACTCCAACATAATCTAGTTAAAAGTGAATAAAAGTACCTACCTAGGTCATCCAAATACCCTCAAATAAATCCACTCCTGATACCTGAACATTAGTCTCATTTTATCTTTTCAATTAATCTGAAGTACTAAAAATCCTAGCTTTAAAAAGCTTAGATGTTTTTAGAAAGTTAATGAAACTATAAAATCTACTGACTATAAATTGCACAACAATAATATAGTATAATAAAATCCATTCAATTAAAAGCAGACTTTTTTCTTAATTACTACATTTCCAATATAATATTCTGCTTAGACAGCTTAATAGTCCTCAGATTGTTACTTAAAAGTGGCTTTCTTCCTTTATAAAACTATAAGGAAGGGATTGTTGCACCAGCAGACAAAATACATAAAACACTACTGCAAAAATCACTAGTTCTTTATGGAAATGTTTAACTATTACTCCAAAATATATTGACTATGCCAGATTTCTTACCAGAATTCTGTGCCTTACTAATGACAATAAAATCTACAAAATCTACAAAAAGTAGAATTCACCTCTCCTTCAGTCCCCTCAGAAAACCTTTGATACCATCAAGTTATCAGCCTCCTATTTCGGAGCCAAAGAGAACACTTAAAGAGGAGCCTGAGACAGGATGATAACAAACCAAGCCTATAAACTTTGCTGTAAGTCTGTTTCATTTGAAATGACCATTGACTTTTACATCTCCTAACTTTTGGTTCCTCTATCCATTTATAAAACATTCTTTCTGGTATGTCCAGAGTCATGTGAGAGCCAGAAAAAATTAGAGGGATGTTGGTTTTTGTTGTTTGTGTTTGCTTTTTAATAATGAACCAATAACTGTGCCACTAAAATTCCACTGGTTTAACCCCTGTTATAGGAGGCAGCTTTGCTGTCCATAGAAATAATAGATTTATATGAAACTTTCAATAATAATTTAAATATTCTGATAATAGTTTAAAAAAGGAAGACAACTTGGTTCTTTGATTTCTGAATAAGGCAAGCTATAAATGAATAAAAATGTAATTAAAATTAAACCCAAAACATTATCCTTCCACCATACTGGCTAAATTGATTCTTGCACAGAAAATAGATTTGAAAAGTAATGCACATAAATAGATAATGTTGACTAACTCAACACACCAAGAAAGAAAAACTAGTGTGTGGAAAAGATTTCTGCACGTCTTCACTCAGAATCTTCAAATACATGCTAAATACCCACTTTTCTCAACATTAGAAAGAGGCAGCATAAAGACATTGCATAAATAAAAGGATTACATTTTATGTTAACATTCAAGCATAAAATGCATAGAAATGGGAATGAAGCTATACAAGCCTTAGTACTCATGTATTTAAAATTTTTTCATGCTTCTTTCTCTAACTATCATTTCATAATTACCTGCTGTCCTCCTTTAAAAAGCAAATTTCCTGTCAGTATATATGCTTAGCTAGCAAACCCATGTGCTGAAATGCATTGTCTCCTCACAGATGGCACAAATAGCAGCAGGAGGTGCAGAATTTGTATTCTTCAGTAGCACTCCTTAATCAGAATGCAGAGAAATCATCTTTAACACAGAAGTGGATTGTGCAGCCTTTTGCAGCTTTTGACCTCTTTTTAAAGAGCTGTAAAAGCTGATTTCAGTTTGAATTGTTTCTTTGGGGATGATCTGCCCTGTAAAACCCAGACTTGCACTGACACAGGCCTTCAAACACCAGGTGCTAAAATCTCTCAAGGTACCATGAACTGAACTGTTTTGAGCCACTGATGTAGAAACATTCACAGGTCACCAAAGCAAATCTCCATGACCTCACAAATCATCTTTGTTTTCTATACTTCTCTGTGTTTCCTTATCATCGTCACCATGGGCCATGGATACATACACAAATTATCTTAACATTTAAATGAATACGAAGCAATACAGCTTAATCCAGGAAATGAAACTTTTTGTTAATTAAATACATTACCGAAAGGTATTTTTCACAGTTAGACAGCAGAGTCTCTTTTGCAGTGTTGTACAGATATATTCAGAGTCCTGAAAGTCCTAACAAAACTACTCAGTCTGACTACTGCATCATTGCTCCTACAACATGCAAGGAAAACAAGTAAGGTGCAAAGAGAAGCAAAGGCGGGTATTAAAAAACCTGATATAATCTTATTGCACTGTGTAATGAAAGGATGTTAGGGCAGCATTGTATATGATTGTTCATATTTAAAAAGGCAGTAATTTATTTTTAATATCAGAATAAAATGCAGAGTTGTGATAAAATAACTCTACAAAAGCTTGTTAGCTGTACAAAACAATAAATATTAAGCCAAAAATTCCATATTGCTTTGCTATGCTTTAATGGCAGAAGAAGAGCTTTTAAAATGTCAAAACCTCAATTTGGCTTTTATGCCCTTGGCAGCAAACTATAGCACACCTTATGCTCTTCGACTTGTCGTTTTAGGTCCTCTAGATCTGGACCTAAGGGCTCCATATCAATTTTCTTTGTTCTTTCCTCTGTTTTTGTCAGCCAGTCAGCTAACTGGGCCAGCTGCTGATTCTGCAGATCCATTAGGACTTTATGCAAACTGTAAAACAAAGAAAGAATCATTATTATTTATAAT